GCTTTATAGTTTCACTGGCAAATGAAGAAGTCCATCTCTTCAGCTTGTTTAATCTGATGGGATTTGAGAGATTTCAGAGAGCCACTAGATAGCTTCAGGTCTCTCTTCCATGTTAGATAAACTGATTTGTCATTCTAGAGAAATGTTTCATTTTGGACTTTGGCTCAAAGTAGTTACACTGGGAAACTGCTGATGCAAACCATTTGTCTTCCAAAGCTTTATCCCTCCTCCTTCCCTACATGTGCACATGTACAGCCAAGTATGTAATTCTCCATTTAGTGAATAGCTGTGATTGTCCTACAGCATTTCTTGAGAAAGAGGAAAGAGTTTTCATGCTTCTTCCCATTCTATATTTTATTCTATTGCTGCCAGCAGAAAATGGAAGACTCCAGCTAAGAGGAATACTTTTTTTTTTCTTCTTCTGTATCCTGAATAAAAGGTGCTGCAGTTATGAGCAGGAAATTAAAGTATATATTAAAGAAAAGAGCACGGTGTGGATAATGTTGCACTCTCAGGTCAGGTGAGCACTTGGACTGTCCTGCTTTGTGCCGCAGCTGCCGGTCTTTCTCCCTCATGTCATCGTTCATAGTCCCACACTGACCTAACAGAAATGTTAGTACAGGTGCTGACTAAGGGAGAACTTTCTTCTAAACTAAAACCAGTTAACAAGATAAGTCATCACTTGTATGGTAGCCAGACCGTCCCTACAGATAAGCTGGGAGTTGGCCGGAGATCTTCCATACCCTTGGATCTGACACAACTGGCTGCTGACCGCTGGCTCTCTGAAGGCTGTAACAGCTTTCATGGATTTACTGCGCGTCAGGCAGTTTATGCAGGGAATTGCTCAGCTCCGTAGCTGTAAATCTTTCCCAGAGGTGGAGGCTCTACCATTGCGTACGGCTCTTACATATGGCTTCATACAAAAAGTTCAAAGCCCTGAGGGCTCTTTGAGCCAGATACTGACCATTGGCTCCTTTATCTGACTTTCATATGATTGCTTTTCTGTTGTAGGAAGTGCTTGACAGTGCTGACTGTTCCTGAGTTTTGTATTAACCTGTCTCCAAGCATGCTGTGCCCCTCCTCAGATGCTGAACAGAGCGTGCTGCAGGGAAGTGGCAGCGCACCGGAGACCTCAGCACAGGAGCAGCCAGCGAAGCTGCCCACAAAGCTAACGGGAGGCGTGCACGCAGGGCGACCGCAGAACTGCGCGGAGCTGTCGCGTGCCGGAGGCTGCAGCGCTTGGTTTGCAGAAGGTGGTGGAGCTGGTTCAGTTCGGGAGCAGCTCTGGGAAGTGCCCAGTAACAAGTTTGAGTCTCCTAACATCTCAGTGTCAGTGGACACAGCTCTCTGGATTTTGTCCTGGGAAGAGTGTGTGTGTGTGTACACACGCAGGGAGGGAGGCTGGTGAGCAGAGCCAAGGGAAGAAAGACTGTTGTAGCTAGAAGCAGTGGGCTCGTGTGAAGGAGCCAGGAGTCCAATAACACTGGTGCTGCAGGTTTCCTGTGCACTTGGGTATGTTGCTTAACCTGCTCTATCTGTCCCTTACCATCCTTGGAATAAGGGTGGGTTTTTTATCGTCCATGTTTTGGACTGAGCTTCTTGGGGCAGGGACAGTTACTTAATCTCCTAGGCATGTACTTAGCATAACCAGAGCTATGGTCTTGGGTGAGACACTCTGTCAGCTTGCTGCTGCTTTTAAAGCACAGCAAACAGCCCTGTCCTACTGTTGTGCCTCCTCCTGCCTGTTAAGCATTTAAATGTTTCTCCACATCTGATACTGTGACAGCCTCTTCATCAGTCTTTCTCCAACACTGAAGTCCCCCCGAGTTACTGGGTGACACTAGCTCTGGCAACAAATTGGAGAATGCTGTTGCTCATGGCTTTAAAAAGCAATCTGTTCAGGAGGGGATGTGCTTGCAGACTTGTGCTGTAGCCAGGGTGTTGGCATGCAGCGTGTGCTCTCCTCCTCTTCCCGCTGGCATCCTTGCTGGTGCTCCAAGACATCACACCACTGAGATAAAAATAGGTGCCCCAAAGTGATAAGCAACAGGAGGTGGGGATGCTTTCTCTTCCCAGGAAAGTGCGGCACAGCCAGCGACTGCGAGGGTATCATTAGCACGGTGGCTCCAGGGCTGGTTAGCAGGGGCTGCAAATGCACGCGAGGCTCTTGCCCGCACTGGAGCGGGCTTGTCTCAGCTGAGCTGCTCATCGCTGGGCGAGCTCAGTCATGGCAAGTGCATGGTGCTGTAATGACCTGAATTGAGGTATCGCCCTGAATGCAAAAATGATTTTTAGCACGAATCTAGAGACAAGCTCTTGTAGCTCAGGTTGATGTAGCCATGCCTGCACTGCCGTTCCCTGCTGTCACCCAATGCAAGCACGGGGCCCCTGTCCTGTACGTGCAGGAGCCCTTGCCTTGCCCTTGTGCAAAGCTGTGCGATTAACTCATTGCTTTTCAGCCTTGGTTGAAGAGGTTCTAGGTTGTTTTGTTTGTTTGTTTGGTTGGTTGGTTGGTTTTTTTAAGGCTAGTTCTCTTGGAAGAATGGTACCCTCCCCATAACTCAGCTTGGCCAGGGTCTCTTCCAGTGTGGGTTAAGCCCCGTTGTGCTTCCCTGTGTGCGCCCTCTGACAGTTGCTGCAGCTGTGCAGCGCTGTTCACACCACAGCACCTTCCTCAGGAGGCAAACGTTCCTCATCTCCCTTCTGGATTTGAAGGATTTCTACCCAGCAGAAGGGCTCAGCTCTCCCCATCTGCACTCTCAGCATCCCGTGCAGGTACGCAGAGACACGGTGTAGTGTCAGCATCCAATCTGAGCAGAAAGCTCATAAACGTTGGTGTAGGAGGGAGCACACTTAAACGGAATTTAAGCTGCTCTACAGAGGGTGTGACTTTAACAATTGCTGCCTTGGGAGGCAAACAACCCTATTATGCTTGGTACTAAAGGGACATACGGTTCTCATTAGTGATCTTGTTTTCTCTCCTCCTGCTCCGTTATAACCACTCAGATGCTTCCAAATATTTCCCTGTTGATTTGGTCTCTTACTTAACAAGTGTCGAATCTGACTGCACTGTGTATGCATGCAGCTACAGCCTAAGCCTGTTCTTCTCCTGTATTTCTGGAGAATCAGAGTGCATAGACAAAAGCATAATATTTCATAATGCTTGTCAAGGGCTGGTCACAAGGTCAATTAAAAAATAATTACATTTCTTCCTGAGTAGTAAGTGACCATCTGAGGTTGGTAGGCCCAGGTACTTGTCCAACCTGATATCTGTTTATCTGTTTTCCGGGCATTGATTCAAAACACAGCTCAGAGTAAATTTGCAAGGAAGTCTGCTTTCCACTAAGGCCTGGCAGCTCGCTCCTTTATGCTGCTTAGCTTGTGTCTGCTGTCTGGCTCTCCGAGGCTAAGGCGACAGGACTGCCTTGTGATCGTGCACACTGAGAACTCCTGCAGGCTTGTACCAGCCTGCATGCTGGAGCCCAAGAAGTGATCCAGTTGATGGGAATGGGTTTTAAATAGATATCTATCTCTATCTTTCTCTGTGAGTGTGTGCATGTGTGTGTATATCTTATTTTTATATATAATATATATAATCTGTCCTATGTAGGGTTAAGTTTTTTATCAGATTAATGAATTTTGACCTTTCCAGTGACTGCAGTAGCTCTGCTCTTACCAGTGATATCAGGATATTCAGACTTCTTGCAAGTCTAGTAATACTGGGGGAGGGGGGGACAGGTTTTTTTTTAAAAAACAAACAAACAAACCAAAAGAAAACCAAATATTGGAAAACCATTTCCCACTAACTTTATTGACCTGCTAGACTATCTTCAATCATGGGCAGAACTGGCAGGTTTTGTAGAAAGCTTTTACTGTCTTTTCTTAATGCTTTTATCACTGAAGTGCACATTTATCCACAGAATGTGTATCAGAAGTGGAGTTAGAAGAGCCCCGGGGGTTTATCTCTGCTCCTTCCTCATCAGGATACATGGGAAGCACAGAGTGCTCTTGGATACTCTGACTGTCTCTGAAGGGCATGGCAAAGATTATAGTAAAGCATCTGTCAATAACATCATCACTGACCTGCCAAGAGGGGTTTCTTGGGATTTATGAAGAGAGCCAGAGAGGAAGAAAAGTGCTAGGTAACAACAAACGATCCTGCTAAGGACAGCCAGTCCTAGAAATTTCTCACTTTAACTTGGGCCAGTTTGGGAAAGGGTTTCCAGCCCCAGTTGCACAGCTCCAATGTGTGGCAACCTTAAGTTAAGCTTCAGACCCCAGGCTGTAAACCTGGCTGAAGACTGTAGTCCCAGCGTAAGTGTGCAGCGTTGACCCAGTAGAACTTAGTACACTAGAGAGTGTTGAAAGCTGTGGTATTTGGGCAAACCCTTATGGACACTTGTCTATATAAGTGACTTATGACCTCCTGTATTGGCAGCTTCTTATTCAAAGTCAACCCCCTTCCTCCATACCCTCTAAGACAATGAAGTGAGATGCAATGACGGTACATATTATTTGCCTCTCGGAGGTGGAATGGATGACACTGCAGCATTAGTGTCTGGGAAGCAGGGGTGTGTCTCTTTCTTTATACCAAAAATAAATAAATAATCTCCTGTGCAGGGGGCTATGGTCTTCCTCACCCTGACCCTGCTGAGGTGCAATCTGGTCACTGAGACACTAGTCTAGATGAACGCAATCCACAGACTTAAAAGAAAGATAATTTAAAATGAAAGCGAGAGCTTTAATGCTCTTTACCAGAAACTTTACATTTCTGGAGACCTGTATGTCCACATGTGTGGTTTGCTCGTGTATTACATGCTGTACAGTTAAGTAAAATCTAGTTGAAGTGCAGAGTGGCAGGGAGCAGGAGCACATCAAGGTTACTCCAGTGAGTTAGGCCATTTCAAAATGCATGGGGGAAATGCTTTCAGCTCCCTGTTTCAAAGGCTCTGTACACAGAGCAGGGGAAAAAGTGGAAGAGAGAAGATGCAGGGCAATAGCAGACTCCTACATCTGTTTGAAATGGCAAGTCAAATGCCGAGTTTCTTGTCTGCTGTACAAGCTGTGTAGTATATAAATATTTTTATATATAAAGAAAATCAGTCTCTACCTTCACTGTATTGAAGTCTTGGGACAGAAGGGAGGACCATCATGCCTTTACGTACACAAGTGATGGGCTTTAATTTAGCTGCTACCACTGAAACGTTGTCACTGGAGCAGATTCGTAGCCATGAAAAATACAAAACAAGGTGTCAGCGTCGAAGGGGTAAAGAATAAAACTCTTAAAAAAAAAAAAAAAAGCTCCACTGTACAAACCTGAGGAACCAATTTTTTTTAATACTAGGGCAGTGGGGGGGTGTGTGTGTATTGATTTAATTCTTCCTGCTCCTGCACACAGTCATTCTGAAAAGGATCTAGAAGTACAGATGACCATGACAGGTATCCAGGGGTTGGTCTGGTGCTCTGCAGGGAGAGACTAAACAGACTCAAAAGGCTGGGAAAGATAACGGAGGCAAAATGCAATGGCTTTATAGACTGCTATAAATGGCACAGAAAGGTGACTAAGGAATGTTTAGTCACGAATTTTTGCAAGGTAAGGAGTAGGGACATCAAAGGGAAGTATCAGCAACTTGAAAGCAAAAGTAATTAATTGGAACTTGTTGGCACAAAATGTAAAAGGGGAGGGGGGGAAGTAATAGGAAAGGAGTGGGGGGAAAACTCATGAAGGCTAGATCTTGCAGAGGTTTTATTTGGTGTGCTGAAGGATCTCTGACCTGTGAAGAAGTTCCTTCTCCCAGTTCTTTAATGTGTTTGTTTCTTCCCCTCTCTCATCCCCCTTGATTCTGCCTCTGTACAGGTTTAATTTACTGTGATTATAAATGTTATAAACTAGGTATACAGAAGCATTTCTCCTGGGTCGGTATCCACACTGACATCTTGGTAGACAAAGTGTGGTGCAGAAATCCACCATCTGCCTTTGGGAGTCCTGTGGGTGAATTCTAGTGTGTATGTTCTCCAAATATTTCAAAATTAAGTGATGCCTCTGGAAAATGTTTTTGAATAGCTATTCTGTGTAGACCCTCATCCTCTTACATCACACCAGTGGTGATGGCTAATGCTGTAGGGAAGAGGCCCTTTTTAACTCTGGGTGTAGATGAAGGCTACGCGCGTGGTCATCATAGCTCTCATATAAGGGAAATGAGCTGGTTTTTCCTGACACTTGAACAAGAACGCCCTTTTGTTACCAAAAACAGTAGTAATGCTTCCAGATGAAGACCTTTGGGATGATGGAACATGCTAACAGTATTTTTTTTTTTAATTAAGAAAAAAAGTACCCACCAAATCTAAAGTTTAGCACGTCAGTTAACTCTGAGTTGGGAGTGAAAGGACAGGGGAGGAAGAAGACAGAGGAAATGCTAAGGAGCTCTTAGAGCACTCCACAGCTATCCTCCTCCAAGAACTTATAAAACCACACAAAAAAATTCTAAAAGTATATCTATTACAGCTGAGAATAACAGTTTAACTATCATAACTATTTATATGCAGGACAGAGGAAAATACTATCAGAAATGGGGCTATCAGTCAAACTTTTCCCTGAATAGGAGTCTAATAGATAGCTCCCTGGAGCGTCCTCCAGCACACAGACTGGCTGCTATGTAATAGCATTTGTTATGGCTGGCAGTTTTTCAAGGTTGGGTATATTAAACTAGATTCCTATGTCTATTTATATGCCAACATATTGAAACAGCCTGTTTTTTGTTTTTTTTTTCCCCGCTCCTTCTCTAGAGCTAGTGAGCAACAGAAGTCAGTGGGTGCCTGTCTTCAAATTGAATTACTTTTACTGAGGAACCTAAAACATAGACTTGGGTTTTAATGTCAGTGTGAGCTAGAACTTTAGAATGATGGTATAACAGGGCAGAAAGAGGCTGAAAAATTCAGAGAGCAAGAAAGTAATCTGAAAACAATTGAGCGTACCTATCAGTGGAGGTGGAATAATGGCAAAAATTCCCTGTCCCATCTCATTTTCAATTTAAGTCCAAGAATGAACCTTTAAGTAGTCTAGCAATTTTTCAGGACAGATAAAGCAAAAAAATGCCTAGCCTCGTAGGTAGACTTTGGGCAGCTGATATTGTGCAACGAACGGAACAAATCCACTTCTTGCAGGACAGGGACTGGAGGTGCTGCCCACTGCCTCATCAGGAGGTGACTGCCTAGCAGCCACGTTACTGGCATTGGACATCTCTCAAGTGTGAATAGTTCCTCACTTTTCTGCCTTTCCACAGAGTTACTTGTATGACTTTGCCTACATTTCTCATATGGTGTTTTTACAGTGGTGGTGATGTGCTTGGATTTGCTTCTAGCTGCGCTATGCGGTACCGTGTAGTCTCTTGTGTTTCTCCAGAGTCCTGGATCCATGGTGAAGATGGTGCTCTGCTCCATCAGCCCTGCTGCTTTCAGCACTGAATACTTGATACTCAAACTCCAAGGTACAGTCAAGCTGTACAACCACTTGTCTTTAAAGATGTACTGACCTGCTTGACCGAAGCTGCAAGAATGCACTTGTTTTCAAGATGCCTTTGTGGGCTTTCCACAGACTTTACATGCAGATGGTCTCCAAACATATGAAAACCCAGAGCTCTCTGAAGCTCTAGCCTGGATAGAATTGACTGATAAGCAAAATGCTGAAGCTTGAAACAAGGCTAAAGTGAGTTTGAGTTTTGTAGGATTATGATGAACAAGGTCTGGCCTGGTAGAATAGGATTGTAGTAGCTTTCCTAATTGGCTTGTCCTCTAATTGAACACTCCTTTTTCCAGATGAACTTTTAAAATGAGTATTTCAAGGTTCTGGTCTTCAAATTGGCTCTCACCCATGATCCATGCTTTTCTTTGGGGGTGACATGTCATGTAGGAATTGCCCTAGTCCCTGGTGAAAGTCCATTTAAAATCTAATATTAAAGCTCAACTGAATACTCTACATTCTTATTCCTTCCAGGACAAAAGCCTGGCAATGTCTCAAAAAAATCCCAAGGAGAAGAGCTTAGAGTTGTCACAAGGCATGGATGTTGTCTTTACAAATAGGGAAGGAATGATCCAGTCACCAGCATACCCCATGAGATAAGCAAATGCCACCAGGTGAACACCCGAGTTCTGGCTTTTGTAACTCCCACATGAAAATCTGCAAATATCTGTGATGTGGTTTTTAATGTATCCATAGGTATTTCAGTACATGTTAGAAAACTGGGCAAGTTCGTTAAAGAGAGTTAGGAAAGCTGGGGAGTACCTTCTTTCCGGCAAACCTGACACCTCTGGGCAAAGCTGTCATCATAAAGCATGAAGTGGCGTAACTAAGCAGTTAACAATGGCAATGCTAAACTATGTCACTAAAAATCTTTTGGTACTTTAATCTGTTTCCTTTTCTTCCTCCTTTATCATGCTTGCTTAGGGTAAGAGATAACTTTCCATTCCCATGGCAATAGCATAGGCTTCTAAACTGTTTGAAAGCTTAACTTCAGAGGTAATGGATAATATGACCGAAATAAATTTGGACCAGTATCCCATGTTTGATTATTTTTTTTTTTTCTTTTCTCTTTTTAATGGGCGTTACAATCCCTTTTGCCTTTGCTCACATTTTGATAGCTATCCCTAGGAAATAAGAGCCAATTGTAAAATATGCTGCCATTGTGACTTTGTTCTTTGCTTTGTGCTGCAGCTCCCACTGGAGAATTGTAGTCCCATTAAAATCCATTATTCAGCCTGAAGTTCTGGACTTCTGGACTGAAAGAAAATTGTCTAATTGTTATGGCCAACTGATGGTGTATGAAGGATGTGGTCTAACCAAATAGTTAATAGATGAGAGAGACCTCATCTTAATGCTGGAGAGAGAGAAACAGAGGAGATGAATTAAGTTTCTTTTCCAGATAGATGGGGAGTTTTACATTGCACACTTCCATGCTCCAGGAGGATCGCTGATAATACTTGGAGCTACTTCAGCTAGCTCAGTATCTTTCCCTTCCTAGAAATACTGTGGCAATCAAACGTATTGGATGTGAGGTACTAATCATGGCATGGCTGTGCCTCAGAAGAACGTAAGTCTCTCTCTGGGTTGCTCTTTCCCAGGCTTGAACTTGTGGCATAACAACTTGCTGCGTGTGTCTGAAGCTGTGTGCCAAAGGCAGCAGGTCAAAGCAATGGGGCCAAGGGAAGGGAAGCTTTTCCTACTGTACTGGTACACCAGGGGAAATACCTACTCACCCTGACTCAGAAGCTATTGGCTTGGTTAGGTAGAATATTGCTGGGGAAATGAAGCTGTGCAAGTATCTTCTGCATCAGGAGAAAGCATAGACTGGAAATTTAAATTGTTCAGGCACTCATAGATACAAGGTTCTTCAGTGCCACATCCCAGTTACTCTCAAAGTGACTTATTCCCTAGCGAATATGGATGTCCCACAGGCTTGTGAGCATTGCATAGTGTCTTGCACAAAAGATCCTGAGGTGGGGCAGCTTTGTGGCAACTATAAATGCAAAGGAATAGAGACATCTGTGTAAACACTTTAGGAGAGGCTAATGAATTTTTAAGTTTGAATTTGGCCTGTTAGGAAAGGTCACTCCAAATGATCCTGTATGTAGGGTTTCAGTGTCTGGCCTCTCGATCACTCTTCAGAGGTCAAGTAGTTTCCCAAGTCTATAGCCCTTTTCTTCGTTGAACAGTTCTCTGTGTAAATGGCATGTAGAATTTGTGCTTTGAAGCCATGCACGTGTTTGCTTCAACCAACAGAACTTAAAACCCAACACTAAGTTCTCTTTTTTTCTCCAATATTAATAGGCCTGCTTAAGGAAACTCACGCAGAAACAGGTTTTTCTTTGTGATATGTTTTCTCTTTTCCTTTTAAGAGTGCCCGGGCTTTGATCTAATTCCAGTTGGAGCCACTGAAATAACATCTTCCAGTTACCCTAGCATTTACCCTGACATGCTGAACCACGCTTGGACTATTTATTCTAATTCAGGAAATAAGCTGAGGCTGTACTTAAAGATTTTGTAGCTGAGGATGCAAAGGATTGCATTTGGGATCATTTGAGTGTTTATGATGGACCACATCTCTCTTCAAGGCTTCTGGGTAGGTTAAACTACATGTTCATTTACTGTCTTCCTTTTCTGACCCCTTTTATTGAATGAAGGTGACCAAATTCCCTTCAGTTGTGGGGTGTGGGAGGCAGGGAGGAGGGCAACGCTGATTAGTGCCTGCACGGCAGGGCCAAGTAGCAGCAGGCTTTCTGAGAGCCATGGAGAGCAGCTCTTGTCAACCAGGGCTGCTTCAGTAGAAGTGGCCTGGACTCAGCAGCTTTTGACTTCTGGCATCATGGCTGTATCTGAGAGAATACTTCTATCAATCCTTCTTTTAAAACCTTTTTTAAAACCTTTGTATCTTGGTACTTGTCTCACTCTGAAATAGTTTGAGCAGTTGCTGCCGTGAGTATCAAAACTGCCTTGTGCCATATGGATATCGGGATCTTTGGGTGCAGCAATGTTCACTGGAATGGCATCATGCCTGCCTTGTTCTCTCACTGTTTCTTCCCCTTTCTCCTCCCATGTACGTAGACATTTAGAAAACTGGCTATTGAAGTAATCTTACTAAAGCATGAGAGATACACTCGTATTGAACAGAACAATTTGGCCATTGCACTAGCCTTCACCTCTTCAGCCTGGGTAGGGAATGATACTGCATAGGCCACTAGAGATGTATGTCCTGAAAGACCTCAGAGAAATCCTGGCATCCACTAATACCTTTGAGTATCAAAAAGCTTGGATTAGAAAGTCTGTCCCTGGAAATACATGTAGGGGCTGTGTCTCAAACTACTTGGCAATGACTACAACTGCAGTATTTTCTTCTCCCAGCCCCCAAGCAAACTTATGTGGCCAGAAAAATATCTTCTAGCACATTCTCTAGCAGCAGCTTCCTGACACTGCATTTCAAAACTGATGAATCTGTGGGACACAGAGGCTTCAAAATCCTTCTTGAAGAGTTGCATCAGCAGCCAGCATGAAGTGAGCTGGAAGGCAGCAGCCAATATAAGTAAGGCTCTGGGTCTTTCCCTCTATGCTACAAAGCAATCCTGTTGTTAAAATAGTATTGAAGGTTATCGGCAGGGACGTTCATAATGTTAATTTGCTGAATGTGTTTCCCCTAAAGCTGTTGTCTGAGATCACTTCAAGATATTCTTCTGTGCTCTGATGTATCCCAAGCTGCAAGTCAATTCAGTGCTCACCCCAAGCACTTCACGCTAGGTGGTAGTCCTTGTATCTCTGCGATTCTCACTGTCACCAAGCCAAATATAGAAACATCCCTGAAGAATGACTGTTTATTTAAATGAGTTTGGGGGTTGGCTTGTTTTTGTTTAAAACAGATGCTTATTGGGAGGAACGATTGGTCTCAGGATGTAACTGACCTCTGATTAATTAATAACCACTGTCTGGAAGCTGACACTATAAACAGGAAGCAGAATGCCAAACAGTTTAATCCATCTGTGCTAACTTTTGCTCGAGAGCTTGCCTGCTCTTACTAGAGGGTTGTGCCTTTCCCTGGGGCACACAGAAGGGATAGAGGGAACCTCTTGTAAAAAGGTTAGTTCCCATGGCATGATCCAGAGTGCCACTGAAAGAGTGGAAATAGGATATGTGTTGTACCACAGCCCTTGAAAATCTTAGTAGGTTTCTCCAAACCGGCTCTACCAATGACAAGCTTTTAATGGACATATTTTCTGTTAAACCTTCCCCCCTACACCTCCAGACATCCTCTCTATTACCAGCTTCTGAGGAAAGTAAATACTGTTCACTTGTAGTTTTGATTCTTTCCTTTCTCATGCTAACACCTCCTGTGATCAGCAAAAGCTGCTGATGGTGGGATACAGGTTATTTATACACCATTAAACTTGCTGTTACTGGAGACAGTTGGGAATACTTTAGTGAACTAATTTTAGAAAATGGAGACTTACTGTAATGGAAACACTTCATAAATATCAGTTTTGACTAGAAAAAAAGGATCAGGTAATGCTTCTCACCTGCAGAATGTGACTTCCTGAAAAATCTGTGGAGAGCTGCTTAACCAGGACATGTTGCCAGCCTGTATGCATCTGGGACATCAAGGTTCAAATCTGTCCTCAAATGGTATTAGTTGAGGTCTTTATTTTTTGATATAGCATGTATGGATATCTTCTTTTGAAGGGAAAATTAGAGCAAAGCGTTCCCAACTCTCTCCAAAAGAGATGCTTCAATCCCACCAGCAGGCTATTGTGGAAGCTTTGGTGGACATGGCTGTCCAGAATGAGTTTGGTGCTTGTTTGGTGTTGGAACATATTAGTTCACCCAGTTATGACCTATTTTTCTGTAACAAAAACCCTCACAAACCCAAAATATCCTCACTAACAGAGAAATGCAGATTTCCAGTGGTGGATCCATTCCCTGTGCTGGGGCCAGCAACAAGTACAGAATCGCTGGCAGACCCATGTGGGAAGCCCAGGGTGGATGGTCAGCCCTGGTGTCCTGGCCCTGGCTGGCCAGTCTGCAGTATGAGGGTCAACACTTCTGTGGAGGCTTTCCAATTGATGAAAAATGGATCCCAACAGCTGTACGCTGCAAATTCAGGTGGGTAATGTCATCTCACCCCAGAGCATTGAGGGCTTGCTAGCCGCCAGACAGGACAATTTCTAAGCCACCTTGTCAGTCCTGGCAAATACAGATGGGCTTACTGTCTACATGTATCCAGAGCTGCCCTCCAGCAGCCAAAACCTTCCTGTGTGCTGCTAGCAATGGTGGCAGTAGAGATGGAGTATGGGCTTTGGTGTGTACCTGGTGATTACTGTATGCATGTGGAGAGCTTGTCCTCTGCCCCCCAAAGAACTGCTGATGCCTACATTAAATCTCTTACTGGCCTCAATTAGGCTGAGGTACCACATGATTCTGTTGTACCTTCATCTGTGGTGTATGTAGACACCCATGATGGTGGCATAGGTCTCGAATCAAACTAGTTATACAGCCCAGATCTGTAGCTTCAATGTAAGCTCCATCTGTGTTGGGGTCAGGTTCCTGAGAAGGTGAGCAACTGACTCGCCTCTGGACTCCCTGTGTTAATTGTAACAGCAGCAAACCTTTGGAGGTGCAAGTCAAAGTTCTCTGTGAGCACAGCACAAAAAGCACTGATACCTCAGCTGGGATTCCCAAAAGTGTCCCTGTGGTGTAAGGTTATAAATCTTGAAGCACGAGTGTTGCTTGGCAGCAAATGTTACAAGTGAACTTTGGACTCTTCCTGTCTGTTCCTAGGGGGGTTTAGACTGAAAAAATGTTACTTGTTTTCCTTCTTCCTTGCCCAGTGCTCAGACAGAACAGTTCTGGGGAAAAATAACTTGTTGCCAAATGTGAAGGATGACAACCCCATGCTTGTGAAAGCCGTTCGTGCACACTATGGCTTTGGTGGGTTTCCTTTCAGAAATGACCTGGCACTCCTGGAGCTGCAGAAACCCATTGAGCCAGGTACCGCTTGAGGCCCATCCTCTTTGGCCGTGCGGGGGTTAATGATTACAATAAGACTCTGACATGGGGTACAGTGTTTAGTATGTGTGTGGGGAAGGGGTGTGGGAGGGCATTTGTGTGTCTTACACACTAAGAGATGCTAAGAGTGAAATGAACAATAAGCCTTCCTGGAGACTTGCTTCCTGTTATCTGGTTAAAATACAGCATGAGGGTTAGGAATGCTTCTGCTGTTGTCAACAGGCTTTGAATCAGGCTCCTCCAAGCAGACCTGCCTGTGACTTTGACGTATAAGTATAGGCTAGACAAGATCTAGAGAATAGCAAAGATCACCTGTGCTACCTGTCTTCGCACCTTGTCACAGCTGCATTATGACCATTAAAGTTAATGAGCCAAAAATAAGCATGTATGTCTCGAGGGAGCTGTTCCTATTTTTTTTTTCCATAAAGATTGGTATGCACAGCACTAACATGATATGCACCTCTGTGCTGGTAGCAAGGTAATGTCTGAGATAGCAGGGGCTGAAATTTAAAGAAAAAACCTTTAATTTGCCTGTACCCTTTGTCTAAAAGACATAATATTCTTGTTAGAGGAATATTTTGCTGCAGTATATAATTTAGATTTTATACAATAAAGTGCAAAGCTTGGATAGAGCTGAGAGAAGTTACTCCTCCCCGTTTGTTATGTGCAACTTGGGGGAAGGAAAGGGGAAGAACTGAAAGCAAATGTTAAGCGGTGGGAAAATGTGATCTAAATAGAGCCACGCACAAGAACAGAGCATGTTAATAAGGAGGCTATATAAGCATATGGGTCTTACGATGTCCTCTTAATAGTATCCACAAAGAAAATGCCACAGTCCTGCCAAAAACTGTCTAACTAGGTGCACTGATGATAGGAGGCTTCTTCACTCAAGGAGTGATGTCCCGGGGCAAACTGGCCTCAGGAGTGTCTTCCCTCAATTCCCTGGATCCATGTCTCTTTGGAGGATCTCTTCTCTCATCTTCTCAGAAACAGCCTTCAAAAGATGTTCAGTTTGACTGTGCTGTGGCCTCAGACAGTGGTATTAGGAGAAAGCCAGATTTGACTCATTAAAACAGCGCTCTCAGGCATCCAGCAAGTACAGCAAGGGAACATATACATTATTAAAGCTCTGTCTCATTTGTTTTGCAGTCTGGTTACGGGATATTTGGGAGGAGGGGGAAATGAAGCAGTGAGTTAAGAGGCAAGAAAAGCACGGGGCTGATACAACTAAGAGCAGGGAAGCTGAACCTGCTGTTGATGGCAATTTGCTTTCCAAGGCAGGCCGTTCTGTGGCAATGACTTGCTTGCCAGGCAGTGGGGAGGAAGCAAGCGCTGCCGCAAGATGGGGAGAGACGGGAGCTGGCAGTAAGCATGGGTTACTCTGACATGAAAGAGCACCGATGACCTACTGAGAGCAGTGACAGCTCAGACTGGGGGCAGCGCCATGAGATACACCACCGCCCCCAAATGTTGCCTGCAGCATGTGAAATCCTTTCCAGATAGAAGCTGGGCTGCCTCTTCTGTCGGAAAGCTGCTATATCTGGAAAGGCAAAGCCAAGGTGGAGGCTAACAGAAGGGGAGAGAACTTGAGGGAGATGAGATCACTCTCATGGTGTTTCAATGCCTGGGGCCTCTCTGGCCTGTGTCACCCCCATTGCTCAGCAGTGCGGTCAGATATCTCCTGGTGCCTGTCCCCTTGGGACAGCTTGGTGGCTGGGGAGGAGAAACTTCTCCCCCTCATCTTCAGACTGAAGACAGCTGTACCACCTCCTCATTCAAAATAGCGACTGACCCCACTGCCAGGAGACGTGGGGTACGTCTGCCTGAATGCAGCTGGCGCAGAGCTCATCTGCATCCCATCTGACCGGCCCTTCGCCAAAGTCTAGCACAGATAGTGGAAAGGAAGCATGCTATTAGCTGGCTGGAAGTTAATCTGGGAAAGTTGGTGGGGTGATGACGGATTCGGGGACACTGCCAGCAGATTTGTGAGTGCTGATCTGTGCCCTGCAAGAGGCTTTTGTCCCTGGTGGTGTGCTGCCTTTGCTCTCTCTTAGGGGCTTGCCCCAAACTTTCTGGTCTTTTGGTGACCCTTGTGAGAGACAAGGGGAAGTTACGGGAACTGTAGTGCTTAATATATCATGCATACTTCCCACTGGTGACTGCCACCCTATTACTGCTCCTGGCTGTTGGGTCTGGTTCCCCCAAGCTGGCAGCTGCACACCTCCCGGCTTCAGAGGGCCCTGCTCCAAGCTGCACTGACTGCAAAAGCCCAGGTGGCTCTGTACAACTGTCTGGAGAGAGGCTCCTTCTCCTGAAGCACATGAAAATCTGGTCTGTGTAATATTGGATAACATACGTGCAAAGGGAAGTAATCCCCAGACTGGGGTCTGCCACGAAAAGTGTGTTGAATGGCTACCAGGAGCAGTCATGGGGTCGCGACTCCTATCTCTGCAGCCTCCCTGACTCCCATGCGCTTCCCAGAGGAAGAACCGGCTGCCAGGCTCCAACAAGCAGAGATCTCTCTCCTCTCCCACGAGGCCTGTGTGAACTACTGGGGACAAAATATTGAAGAGACCAACACCAGCAGGAGAGCTGTGGAGACAGCTTCTTGCAGGGGATGGGAATGCTGCACTGCACGCAAGCAGGACCCAAAGCCATGCCCTCCCCTCGCTCCCTGGATGTGAATGCTTTTGACACTGCTGACCGGTGATAATTCCTTGATTTTTCTTTCTTTGCCCTTTCTCTTTTCGTTCTTTCAGGGAGACTCTGGGTGGCCATCAATCTGTGTGATCGATGGGCATTACAAGCTGGTCGGTATCACAAGCTGGGGCAGAGTCACCAACAGCCTATGGCAGGGGTTCTGCCCCCAGACCCTGGATTTCATCAGTCACAAACAGAATTTTGCAGGAGCTTTTCAGGTTTTTGTGTATTTTTTCCTCAGCAAAGAGGTTGTGATGTATACTGGGTAAATGTTTGTGATTCAGGTCACCTTCCTCCAAACCCTTCCTCTTTGGAAGTTCAAACTTGAGCACTCAGTTTCAGAAATCCTTTTTTTACTGCAGCAGAGCTTGTGGTGCTGTAGCACTGATATAAATTCAGTTCCTGAAAGGTGCCTAGGAAATACTATGCTTCAGTGTTTGGGTGCATGTTTAGTGTCAAGTCCTTTACACAGCTGGTACTCATCTGTCAAAATAAAATTGGTATGCCCTGTTCCTCTCAGATAACGTGATTTACCAGAGGGAAGTAGCTGCTGCTGCAGCATGGATAGCAAAGATGGAGTGCTTCAGCTGCAGTGTTACTTTGCTGAAAAGGAAGCAATCTGGAATTTGGTATGATGGCTCATCCATTGTAAATATACCTTCAGGTTTCAGAAAGATTTATTTATGCCAAGCTCTTAGCCTTGTCTCTCGTATTAGGAAGGCCATACAGACATGATTCCATTTGCCAGAAGCTCGTTTTTTTGTTTGAAAGGGAAGGGTTTAAATATACTTTCTTGAAGGAGGGAAAGGTGGTGTCTGACTTAGCTACCAGCTCATAGGAAACTTTAGATAAAAACTAGCCTTGGAATTGAAGTGTATCATGAAGAAGGGTTTTAATGCTCAGCCCTATCAGCATGTATCAGTGACTTACAAGCCAGGAAACCTCTGCCCGCATCCATCTCCTCTGGTTTTGGCACTCTTGTGCACTACATATGCATCTGTCCTTTAAAGAGAAGATAGCAAGCTCTTTTCCAATCTTTGTGTTTATATTGCAGTTCACTTAAATATGGAAATACAAGCATAAGAGTGTTTGTGAGGAAACAGCTCGATGGCTGTTGTTTAGCCAAGTGAACTCAGCAACCATCTGCTGCCAAAATGGCTGAAGAACTACAGCCTGCCCTTACATCAGGTCATTCAGGTACAACAGTTTAATAGATCAAGTTACACGTGTGATCTTTTGACTTACTGAATATTAGTCCCTGTGTTGCTTAAAAGAAACCTTTCTCTCTCTCTCCTATGCCTATCCTATGCTGCTTTTGGAAAGAAAAGCTCATATTCTAGCACAATTCAGAAAACATCAGTCAATCTTTACAAAAATAATAGCTCCCCTGAACTAGCAGAGCTGTAAATTGCAGTATTTTGTCAGGCTGCTGTTGCTGATGACCGACTTGTCGTGTTATAACTAACTTTAAAAAACTGCTCTGCCATCATGACAGCAAATGTGTTGGGGTTTTGGCTCAAAGATGTGATTTCCCCAATGTGTCTTCAGCTGTGCAAATAGAGCGGCTTAGGGTTTGTAATTCAGTGCTGTATCACAGACTAGGGAGGCTTCCTATTGTGAAAAAGTGCTCGGCATTTGGTGAATAACCTACTCACTGAAACCTTCAAAGACGGGGGTAGGATGGGTCACCATGCCTGCTATTGGTGGCAAGGATCTAGGGAGGAGGAAACCTGTTCTCAGGACTCCTTACATGCCAGTAACCACTTCTTACATCTGGAAAGAGGATGGGGCTGCCCAGTGAAGTAAGAGCCTCATCCCAGGCATGGTCCTGCCCATGCCTTGGGAGATTGGCAGAGCCGCAGGGTGAAACCAGCTCTGGGGTGTGCTTGTGGTGGCAACAAAAATGCCTGGCCTGCCACAGGGGATTTTATACCTTAAATTTCTCTGGGAGAAGAGTGTTGGAAAGCTTCTGGTAAAGCTGAAGAGAAGCAATTAATATTCATCCGAACATTTTTTCTTTACTGGCCTAGAAATGGGCAGCCAGGTGCTAAGGGGCATAGCTACTACAGGAAAGTGTCACCACATAAGATAATTGGGACTTCCAGTGCAGAGCTAGAATTGAAATGAACGCGTAGGTTATCTGCTGTTTATGTCATCCCTCACAATCTGCTGCACGCTTTCCTTTTGGACCACGTGTTTGATGCAGAGACATTTGGTAAGAGGGGAGCCCTGGTCCAGGGTGGGATGCAGCACTTTGTACAGAGGAGTTTTCCCTCTGCACA